GGAGTATTGGCACGAGTTCGTGTTTGACTAAGCTCAAGAATATGGTGGGTTTCGATGTGTGACTGTTAACCTTCGACTGTCTGCTTGGACAGATTGCTGGAATTCCTGCAGATAGATATCTGATCCCATCTTGCTGAGAATAGTTTTATTGATTCTCGGGTATCAAACTCTTGTTTGCTGACTATTCCTTTTGTTAATTAGCATTCAAGTTCGTATTAGAGAAACTCTTAACTGTATAAAACAGGCTGCACGGTTTGAAGTATTTTGTACTTATGGTATAATTTGTTTTATTTCTTGAATTAGAACAGTTTAAATTGTGCAGGGAGTGTGTGTTTTCATATAACTGAATACAAGTAACTCAAAGACACTTTGTACGCTTTACAGAAGAACGTAGTCTGGTTTTATCGGATAGATTTTTGTTCGTTTGTTTTGCATTCAAACCGAATATTAGCATTTCGGTCGTTATGTAGTGAATGAGAACATTAGTGGGGACAACCAAATGTATTTCAACACAGAATTACAGAATTTCTTTGTAAAACCTGAGAACCATACATTAAATTCTTCATTAGCAAAATGTCAATAGACTATCTCAAACTTGACTGTTCCTTCGTTTCCACATCAATCACTCTCTGTTCTCGTTCTCTTCTCTTCGATCTTCTTAACCTTCTGCATCGAGACACTTCACTTTCAACTGGTGTTACATACTACTTATATCTGTCGACATCAGTCACACACAAAAGTAACGCTTGGTTTTAAACGTAAAGTCACTAACCTCTAGACGATAGGAGGTATTGATCGACTGTCTTGCTTACCAATAAATATTTTCACCGAAAGAAGACTGTCAAATTCATACAGATCCACAAAATAATTGCCCTGTAGGAGGCCAGAACAATTCAATTATTATTCATTCAAAAACCGTTGTTTCATGTAGTGCTCACATAGTTAGCCTTCCAAAACAGTTCAGTATTATGTAAAGCTTGCGTGACAAAAGAGATTAAATCATATAAGGTTAGCTAACTGATCAAATCGGTTGGAGGCTAGGTTGATTGAGTGTATGACGCACTTGATTATTCGCAACCAGAATAAATCAGCAACTCTCCTGAAGACAATATCTCCAGTCCAGCCTGAGTCTAAGAAGTTTCAACTTTCCTAACCACTACTATGTTATATCTTTTCATTTCCACAGCTACTTGACTGGTCCTCTCGGCCGCCCACACTGTCCAGACATAACATGTAACTATATTAATTAATCCTATGATTGTCAGAAAGGGTATCAGCCTTACTACTTGCGAAGAATCTCGGCTTTCACCATGACGCGTTATAATACTTCTCAGTGAATATCCTTCAATTCCCAAAATAGGGTCTACACTGTCCAAATCGTTTCTTCTGATCAGTGCTTTTTACAAAGGTTGTTTTCTATGGGATAAGTTTGCAAACGTTGTTCTCAACGTTCCTCTTTCATTCAGACTTGGTACCGGCAGTAAACTTAGAAGGATCTCGAAAAGAGTTTCCGCCAAGAGAACAGTGTGCGCCAGTGGTGTGAATAAATAAGCTTTTTCAGCCACATCTTTGGATGTTTGACTATCCAAGAACTCTATGAAACTCTTGAGTACTTCGCACTGTGTTTCTTTGTCAAGGCATATTAATTGAAAATACTCAACAGAACAACACATTCTCCTGCTTTCTGCACAATGAATGTCAAAGTATAAGACATAAAAGTCAGGTTCTTCACAAAACAGTAGATGACTCATACTTTTTCACATTAGATTGGAATACAAAAGAAACCGAATTTCGTAAAGCGTGACTTTTGTTTTCAGCGTCTGTGCAAAATACAGCAATTTGACCTCTTTTGGTTTGTATATAATCAGTGTATGCTCCCAAGGTATTTTATCCAAGTATCTCTATGCTTAGATCAAATCACTTTGGTAGTCACGACCAACAAAATCATCGATATACTTATGACTCGACATATTTAAGCATATCATAGTTAACTGAAGGATTAAATTCTGAAGTATCTGAAATTTTTCCATTCACTAATGTTGCGACTGAAAGGCAATCATAAAGAATCTTCAGCTTGTAGCGGTAAACAAATCCCCAAAATCAATAGCTCTGTAAGTCTTCTATATTTGATGCTGACTTCATTAGTTTTAATGAACTCACCTAGCTGAAGGCACTCAGTCACACATCCGTATCAGATCACGAGTGTGAACTTCTGCTACCGCTAGACAGTTTAGATCAGTCACTTCTCGATATATTGACGATCTATCAAATGTATCTTCGAACCACCTCCCTTACTAATTTTGACGTCACCAGGTGGGAACGATTCAATTATAAGTGTTACTAGTCAAAGTGTTGCCAAATTACAAATACTTGCTGCATCTCCATGCCCTTTAACGGGTGTAGCGTGATTTTCGTTTATTTGTTCAAACCCGTCACACAATCAAATGCTCTTGATACGTTAGATAGACAGGTAGCAGCACTGAGTAACTTTCTATATGCTCGTGAACTCATACATTACTGATCAATAAAGTAACTAGGAAAAAGTAAAGACATTTCGTTTTTACCTACGGATTATAATTTAAACCGTGCAAGGCATCATTCGACTGCAACGCCATCCACTATGAAAACGTTAACCCTTTTGTCATTAGATATTTAAAAAAGTAAATATATTCTGTCGCTTGATCTGTTAGTTTTAGGCTCCTAGGAATTCAGGCTTTTAGTGGGATCAAAAGAGACCCATAATTCAACATGAACAATCGGTAAATGCTTAACAGTCTGTTAAATGTACCCAGATGCTTGGTTATGGTCAGTTGTGAGTAAATCACAATAGCTGACACTTTATTTTCCAAGGGTTGAATGTCTTGTCCATCAATGGTATTCTCAAGAACAATTTCCAAGTGTCTACAATATGTCAAGACCTCTGAAGACAGACGAATTGCTTGAAACTTTGCGTCGTGCCTCCAAAACCGAAAGATGTGATGACAACAGTCTTATGCATACTATGCGTAGCTATTTGGATTTGGATGTGTGGCTTAAATAATGCTACCTTGAACAGACAGTCATACCTTTCAGGGTAGCTGTACGGTTTTACATTTGGTGTGATGTATAGAGATCTGAAGTGACTAATATGTTAGGTTGCGGATAACCGTCCATTGGAGGCTGAACACCGGAATTTTTTGACCGACTATATCCTTCTCCGTAGAAAAGGAAATGTGGGATAGATTTAGGTTACTGGGAACTGACGAGTCAAAATCTCAGTATCGAAAGGCTCAGAATACTTGTGCCTTGACCCTCCGTAAGTCTAGAAAAGTGTACGAAGGAAAACTTGTTAAGGAATCCTTAGAATGTCCTAAACGCTTGCATTCTTATATAAACCAAAGTACAAAGAGGTAAGGAAATATTCCTGCTCTATAGGAGACAGTACTGCCGCGTCACTAGTGGAGGACGACTTTGGTAAGGCTCAGGTGTTCTCAAACTACTTTAGCAATGTATACACCATAGAAGCGCCCTTCCCATCAGCGTATATAGATCCCCCTACAGTTACACTGGATAGCCTGACCATTTAAGAACTCTATGTCTTTAGTCTACAGAATAAGCTTGACATAGCTAAATTCACGGGGCCCGATGAATTACATCCTAGGCTACTGAAGGAATTATCTAACTTCGTTGCGAACCCTTTAAGTATATGCTTTAACCTACCGTAACGCAGAGTCGTTTACCCAAAAGGCTGGAAAAACGCCATAGTAAGTCCTGTCTTCAAAACAGGTACGAAAAACAAACCTGGGAACTACCGCACCGTTAGCCTAACTAACGTGGTTGTTAAAATCTTAGAAAAGATTATTCGGAAGGAGCAGTTTAAGTATCTCGATAAAAACCGCACCCTTTCGGAGATGCAGCACGGTTTCAGAGTAGGTTACTCTTGTCTCACTAACTTATTAGTGGCTCGTGAAAGCTGGTGCGCTCTTAAGGACCAAAAGTCACCTGTAGACGTAGCCTTCATTGATTTTAGCAAAGCTTTTGACAAAGTTCCGCACAACCGGCTGTTATATAAGTTAAGATATGTCGGGATTGGAGGCAATCTATTTATGTGGATAAAAGACTTCTTAGTCAACAAAGAGTTCGGGTGAACTCCAAGTTATCTAGCTGGAGAAATGTGCTTAGTGGAGTGCTCCAGGGTAGAGTTTTGGAGCCACTGCTATTCCTCTTGTATGTAAATGACCTTCCTCGTCTCTTATCATCATCGGTCTTGCTATATGCTGACGATGTCAAGATATGGAGAACGATACGATGTGAAGGTGATAGCTTAGAACTCCAAAATAACCTGAAGAAATTATCTGAATGGTCTCAAACCTGGCAGTTGCCGATAAATACTTCCAAGTGTGTTGTGATGCATATCGGTCATCAAGGCACAGATATGTAGTGGCTGTGCTTCGTTAATTAATCACCCTCGAACCGTTATCGTATAATCTTCAACGGTGTTTGAAATCAGAAGGCAAAAAGAAGCAGCTACTACAGTTTATTTAGTAGATAATTCGGACCAGACAGCAGAGAGGCAAAATGAATGAGCAAGCGAACTACGATTGTAGCAGTAGCAAGTAGTTGTAGTAGTAGTAGTGAATGGGTGCAAATGTACACATATATATATGTATAGGAAAATGGATGAGTCAGCGAATAGATTAAGCAGTTAATAATGAAGCAAGTAGAATGAATACATGCGTAGGCGCTAAACAATGTTCAAGCATGTGTATTTCATACAAGCATAATAATAAAGATAATACAACAAGTTGTTATATCATGGATGACTTTGTCCATTAAATAGGTCAACAAAAGACCTTGACTGAACTAAACTCAATTGCACGTGAGTCACTATAGATACATACATGATGAATAACACTGAGCTACCTGTCGTCCAAACATATAATGACTCAGGGGTCATCGTTAGCCAAGACTTAAAGACTACTGCACACTGCCGTGCAATAGCCGCCAAAGGTTTTAGAACGTTATGGTCAATACGTAGGGCTTTTAGTCATGTCGACTCTAAAACGTTTTTGACTTTGTATACAGTGTTCGTTTGTCTTAAACTTCAGTACTGCATACAAGTGGCCATCCTCTGCTTAAAATAAGACAGTGAGCCTCTGGAAAAGGTTCAGAGAACAGCAACTAAGCTGATTCCCGGAATAGCGAAGCTTCCGTATGATACTCGACTAGCCAAGCTGAACCTTTTCCCGTTGTCGTATTAAAGAACTAGAGACGAATTGATTACAGTTTTCAAATTGCTTAGTGATAAATTCGCACCTGATATGCCCTCATTTTTTCTTGTCTTCCAAAACAGAGAATTTACGAGGACACTCCGAAAAAGTTCAGAAGTCGAGAACAAATTACTTGTCAGTTGACTATCGACTTTCCCGTCGAATCATCAACGAATGGATCAACAGAGGGACCACCATTGCCAGGAATAACATAAGACATCAGGCCTCCTGCCCTTCCAAAACTGAAACTGAAACTGAGAGAAACCAATCGGTTCATACGAGTTATTGGATAGTGATTTAGTACAGCGAGTTTTCAAGAATGGCCAAGGTCGCTTCTGCAGTTCTGCGCATCTGTGATACATTCCTTTTTGACTGTGATGGTGAGGGTTGTCAGTTTCTTGATGTTTAAGGTGTCATCTGGAATTCCAACGTTCTTATTCCATCGGCTCAAGCACTTATACAATACTTGTTCGACCGCAAAAAGAATGTTTTTCTAATTACGAATAATAGCAGAAGATCTGTAAAAGAATACGTCTCCAAATGTAATGGCTTGGGACTCCCAGTATCGGAAGTATGATGTGTAATTGATTCATTTTCTCAGAGAAATATAATATGTACAGCTCGTGTTGCTGCTTGTTTTCTTCGAGAAAAAATATCCGACGGGGAAGTATATGTGGTTGGTGAGAGCGGAATCAGCACTGAATTAAATGAATCTGGAGTATCTCACTTTGGAATCGGAGTAACATCAGTCTATTCCAATTCATATTTCCTAGCCTGACTTCCCAGCCGACTCGTCTAATCCCCTTCATGGAGTGGAATTAAGACCAAACGTAAGACTAGTTAGTTATGTTATGCCTTAGGTGAAAGCCGTTCTTGTAGGCTTTGATAGTCACTTTAATTACAGGAAACTGATGCGAGGAACTGCCTACATAAATAATGGGGCTTATTTCTACGCTACGAACGAAGATGCACAACTACCGGGTGGCAATATTGTCTTCCCAGGTTAGCTGAACTTTTAGATTCATGTTGTTCTCCTGTAGTTACAAATTTCCAATTACCTGGCCAAACTGACGAAGAAGCTGGAATAGAACAGTAAAATTAAATAAAGGAAACAATGAAATAGGTTTGATATATGTGCTGGCTATCCGATGGGACTGTAATTTATGGACGATTTCTGGGCAGCTCTAATCAGACCTTGACAAAATTCTTAGAGTTGGAAGTTAGGGTTAAGGATTAAAGTAAGGTTCTTCGTCACAAACTGACACCCGTTATAATGCTTAAGTGTTATTAAGCCATATATGTGAGACTATAATTTATGGACGACCCTTGAGCGACGCCAGTGTGACCTTAAAAGTCTCAGTTTTGGAAGGGCAGGAGGCCTGATGGCTTGTGTTAGTCCTGGCAATGGTGGTCCCTCTGTTGAACCAACTTTCTTTTGAGAGAATCGACGGATGGAGCCTCAATCACGTGCTGAGGTAATGAATTCCACTCGTTGATGATTCGACGGGAAAGTCGATAGTCAACTGACAAGTAATTTGTTCTCGACTTCTGAACTTTTTCGGAGTGTCCTCGTAAATTCTCTGTTTTGGAAGACAAGAAAAAATGAGGGCATATCAGGTGCGAATTTATCACTAAGCAATTTGAAAACTGTAATCAATTCGTCTCTAGTTCTTTAATACGACAACGGGAAAAGGTTCAGCTTGGCTAGTCGAGTATCATACGGAAGCTTCGCTATTCCGGGAATCAGCTTAGTTGCTGTTCTCTGAACCTTTTCCAGAAGCTCACTGTCAGTATCTACCAAATAACTAGAAATAAATGAGGGTTATAAACCAGTGTGAGGAACTAGAATTATGATTTACAGTTGATGGTTAACGTTAGAAATTAGATTTAGGGTTTTCATCACGCACTGACATCAACTAAAATACCCAGACGTTACTCAGACAAATTACAAAGAATTTCGCGCCGGAATCTAAGATGTTATCGTAAGTCTGATTGGTTCGCCCATAAAATATAGTCTTACCGAATGTAGTGTATCCCAACATTTTTTGTGTATTGTGACAATAACGTGTTTATCTTATTAGAAAAATTCAGTGATCATTACAACAGTAAAACCTAATTCAGCACCTCCATTTATCTAACACATGAGCCGATAGTCCATCACAAAACAGATTATAATGAATTTCCGATGACAATTACCTCAACGACACCAAAATGGAAAACTAACTTTGAATTTTGGCAGCATTTTGTTCTCCAACTAAATCTCTATCCAAATATTCCTTCTAAATATAATGTCTCATAAAGCTGTTGGTTAACAAGATGATACCTTAACATAGATTGTTTCTAATGTTTAATTGTTAGCGATGTAATCGTTTGTCATATTTGTTCTAGATTCCTACGTATTTTATGACAAATTGACTAAGTTTCTTAGTCTAATAGACAGGATGACGAAGAAATAATAATTAGTTCAAGTTTTCTCCAACTTTCACTGGTTAACCTAAAGTCAGAAGTACAATCTACAAACTTAGGTGCTATCTCAGTGTTATTACTAATCACTACAAATTTGACTGGAATCATCAGGCGAAATCTGTAAATCGCGATTTAGGAAGGCGTAAAACTGCTTGGTCCTTACAAGTTGTTTCGTGACCACTTACTAGTCCATAATTCCTTCATATATAATCCTGTTTCTGATTCATATTTCTAGGTACTGGATCTATCGTATCAGCTTTCAAAGTTGCTTCAGGAAAGGAGCCTGTTGTATTTGGAAAACCACATAAACCTATGTTTGATCTACTCTGCCAATATTGCGATTTGGACCCTTCAAAAACTATAATGGTTGGAGATAAGTACGTTACAACAATGTTTTTAATAACACGTTAATTTTCTCAAAAGTTAGTTAGGTGTACTAAGTATTATAGCCATTCTTTTGCATACTATGCATAATGGAATTTGAATACATTCATCCGCTTTCACTTAAATATCCGGTCTTATACAATTCGTTTGTATATTTCACTAACTATAAAATTCACGTCGCCAGCTAAGCAAACCTTTTCAGGTATCGTTTACTCAAAAAACTTATTTGACACAAGAATGTAGAGCCATTGTCCAATATAACCTGCTAGTATACTAAATAACCTTCATTTTATGTCAATACTTTGTCTTAAATGACTTAGTTCCTATTTCATTATCATCATACTCATAATTAGTATGCCTTTTTTGTCTTAATTAATCGTTGACACTACACTAAAACTTTGCATTTCCTTTTGCGTCCTGAGTTGTTTTACTCATTTCAACATGACTTAGATATCAGTGAAATTTATTGTCCTTTTAGTCTTTAGCATTCTAACTTATTAACACTCAATCAGTCAGTCAACTACAACGTAGGACCGGCACATATATCATGAGTCTAAGTTGCCGTACCTCATTAGCACAACAAGATGAAGACCGAATTCATAGAAATAGTTAATTCAATGATGGTAATATATAGAAGAAAAAAGATTGCATATAAGGATATAGTACAGGAAGAAAGAATTGGTTAGTAGAAAGAGAGATATATAGCAATCTCACAGTTTAAGGGAAGGCGGAATGTATATACACCTACGCCATTGTGATCGATTCCGAGCCATGTCACCAAGAGTTTCCAGCCATTTATTACGATAGTCACACGGACCCCAACCAAGTAGTCTTCATCTACCAACTTGGTTCAGACTAGGAGTTAGTGACTTTAAGGGCTGATGCCACGTTTTGGTTTGGCCGCCCCTTATTAGCACAAGCTCCAATTCTATCATTTAGTCTTGTACCACCGTCTACTTTATCTGTTTGTCAACCCTTGTTGATTCAACTCAGCCCCTAGTTGGCATGACTTGCTACTGATCAGCAGTAATCGGTCGTCAATGGTCGTAATTGTTGCCATTAAATACTCCACTAACTGCCTGGGGCTTTCATGAATGGATAGTTTCATGTTTAAATAATTCGCCGTCCAACCAATATCCTGTGGGTTCAAACTCCATCCTACCTACCTCTGTTTTGGCAACCATCTATTACTAATGGCTTTATTCAATATTATATTTTTGGTAAAATATAAAATTCTCAGCACAAAGCAAAAAGTATTTCAATTAGTTCCTTTTTCTTATTTCTTGATCGATCCTGACGACAAATATTGAGTGATCACCAGTTAAATGTCAGCAATTCAGGAATTGACATCTGAATAATGTTCATTCTTTTCAATGCATATTGCCAGCCACCACGATTTCTGATTTTACTTTTTGTATCTTGTACAGCGAAAGGTCTTAAACTTTTCATAAACGCGCCATAGTAGATTATGCGATTAATATACATAATGTGTTAAAACAAAAACATATAACTTGTTGACATATCTAGATGACAGGAACAGGTAACCCAGATATTCAAGGAGGCTAACAATATTCATATCACTGGCTCTTACACCATAAATGTTGGCTCAAAACTGTCTATGTAAACATGTACGTTACAAATAAGTCTAAAATATCGTCAAAACTGTTTCTTGTTTATATTAATATCCACATTTGTTATAAAAAAGGTCAGATATATTTCTTTTTTGTCTCCTTTAGAAATTCGACTATGTATTCTATTCCCCTCTACAGTCTATTCATAGTTCACTAAAAAAAATCACGTTTTAATTTGCATTCTGCATATTTCATTCTATTTGTCCTTTTAACTTTTAGCTTATATACTGATATCGCATTTGGGAATAAATTTGGTTTGCATACAGTATGCGTCCTGACGGGTGTCACTAATCAAACGTTAGTTGATAAAGTAAACTGTTCACCAGAAGATGAACTTTTTCGACCAAAATATGTTTTGCAATCTGTTACAGATATTTTAAATATTTTAAAAGAATAAATCAACTGTTCTTACCGTCTTATTTACTCCTAAAATATTTCTCCTTAGTTCGTATGTATTGTCATGTACCATTGATTATCTTCTAATTAGCTTACTCAGATTTTGTGATTTACATTGTTCGCTCATTATGTTTTTAGGCCCTTCTTTATATTTATATAAAATAAGTGCTTGTAAACATAGAATTGAATCTTAACAAGACACACTTTTATATGGCTATATAAATTATTGTCACTTTTCTAAACTGATATACTGCTTTTTTTCTGGCAGTGATATAACAGCAGGAGAATAAAAATTATTTTCGGTTTGTCAAGTTATATTACGATTATACGAATGCGATCGCCTGGCTAGATCGATACGCTATACACAGACTGGATCATGTCACACACATACATGATTCGTGGCGAAAGATAAATAAATAAAGTGTAGATTAGGCAATGCTTTATTCAACACAATTACAAACAATCTAAACTTATTGAGTTCGGAGTAGAAATCAATACTAGTAAGAGAAACTACATCCACGAACCAACACTAACCCATTCACCAGATATTTGGGGATGAGCCGTGCTTTAACTGTAAGGGCTACTGATATTATTCGGTTCGCCAAACCTAAGTAGATGAGGCCGGGTTTAAACCAAAGATTTGGTAGCTGTTGGTCAAATGTCTAAACCACCACTCCTCGGAAATCACATATTTAGTAGTTAGTAAACTAAGTGTTTATTTGTCCACGTTTAGGGGTTAATCCTATCTTCTAAAAGCACACATCAGTAACTAAGGGAATTTTTAAACTTAGTGCTAAAGTTAATCAACTGGATAACGTATCTTCCTTGAGTAAAACTAAAGTACATTAGGACGATATCAAGTTAAATGTTTAGCGATTTTACAGTGGCTGTTCAAATATCAAAAATAATTAAAACTAAAATTACCATTAGGTATTAAGGCTTTTGGTCAAGAGGTCATCACCATAATTCAAAGAAAAGCTCTTCATGCTTTCATAAATTTAACTATCACAGTTATTAAGCTAGCTAAGGTAGTATTCTCTTAGATGTATACCTGAACGGTCGAAAATGAAACGTACGGTTTAGTTGATTAGGTAGTTGTTTTTTTTATTTAAACTCGATTTCGTCATCTAACTAGTTACTACTACTTTAAATCATGTGATTACATCAATTAGATTTTACGCTTTTTACACATTTTCTTGGAAAACTCATTCCATTTCTCTATGTTATAAAAGTAAATAGATAAGGATGTTCGTCCGCTTTTCAACATTCAATAAGCCCATGATATCTAGGGTTTTCGAGTAGTTTTCCATCCATGTAGTAGGTGAGCGCTACATATGAGTGTATTTTCTGCTGGACATTTCATTTCAAGCTGCTGAAGTTATCCACATCTAGTTGCTATGGTCATATCATTGTAGCGTATCCCGAAATACTGGAAGAGAACCAAAAATATTGTAAAACTTGGGGCTTCAAATAAAAAAAATTTTCAGTGGAAATTACACTCTTATATGCTACACTTCATTAGCTGGACAGAAAGATGCCGGATACCGCACATTTATCGAACACCGAAAAACTGATGGATAACCACATACTGTATACACGTATCATAACTTGCTCGAGATAGTGGAGAGAATAATAAATAGAAATATTAATGTTATTTTTATTAAGTTTCACAGGATACTGAATAGTAGTTAACTGCTGAAAGCAACTGTTATCGTATATATATCCTATATACAAAAACCTCATGCAGAGTGAGGGCATACAACCACCTATCTCATTGTTCCATTCAAGCAATGGGGTTAGACAGGGTTGCTCAATTTCACCATTCCTCTTCAACTTTGCCGTCGATGACATTCTGGAAACAACTCTGATGAATGTAAGTAATGGCTGTGTGAATCTGTTGCCTGGAGAAAGACTTCTCAACCTTGAGTATGCGGATGATATTGTCATATTGTGCGATAATGCTCAAGCCATGCAATCCGCACTTAATCAGTTGGCAATCAGTGTCCGTAGGTATGGTATGTGCTTTGCACCTTCGAAGTGCAAAGTACTTCTACAAGACTGGCAGGATTCCAATCCTGTACTCATCTGGATGGTGAGCAGATAGAAGTAGTGAGAAGTTCGTGTATCTAGTTGCTGCATAAGTGCGAAAGTCAGAGCGGCCTATGCCAATCTGGGCCATCTTTGGCGCCTTCTTGATGTCAGTCTGGCTGTATAAGGTCGGATCTACAACGCATCGATAAGAGCAGTTCTGCTCTATGCTTGTGAAACCTGGTCTCTCCGAGTTGAGGATGTTAGACGACTCTCTGTGTTTGATCATCGTTGCCTCCGAAGGATTGCTGACATCCAGTGGCAATACCATGTTGGCAATGAAGAGGTTAGGCATCGTGTGTTCGGGCACAGAGATGATAATTCAATTGGTGTCACTATCTTGAAACACCGACTTCGGTGGCTTGGACATGTTCTAAGAATGTCGTCCCAGAGAATTCCACGTCGTGCATTATTTACCGACTCTGGGACTGGTTGGAAGAAGCGGAGAGGTGGTCAGTGTATGACATGGTGTCTTGGTATGAAAGAAAGCTGTGGAGGGCTGGCTTGTGTTGGTCCTTCACGGCTCCCTGGCTGGGGTCTCAGAGATGGTGCTACACAGTGGCTCAGAATAGAAGCTAGTGGCTATTCTGGTGTAACCTTCTTTTACTTTCTTCATAAAAAAGTGGTTGTATCTTCCTTACCTGAAATATTTCTTCTAGTTGTACCTATACGTTTCCCCCATCATTATTATTATTATTAAATCACCTCACACTAATCTGTTTGTTAACGTTCTTTTTTTTACGCTCCTTGACTTTTTTTTTCGCTTCGGATTCTCATTGCTTTGTGTGGCGCATATATATTTGGTGCCCTCTTGTACCAATATTTATGTGTTAAAATAAATAAATATTGTCTTTTTCATCTATTTTCATATTGCATTTTTGAAGTCAATGGTATTACATTTAAATTATTAACCGATCATAATTAGACCAGCGCTGAAAATCTGTAAGCACTGGATGGCCGTTTTGTCTTACTATGGGACTCGTCAGAAGTACATGTAGTTCAGAGTGAAATATTAACACCGTTGAATACGAACTCGATGGTTTAGAGGTCATACGTTCACGCTCGAGACCAAGGGTCCTGTGTTCAATTTATCCGTGAGAGGTCGTGAATGAGCACTACTGAAGAGTTCCACACTAAGAAGAGACGGTCATCTAGTGTTTCTGGGTTTTCGGTGGTGGTTCAACTTAGATCGATCCATAATTTCAATGAAACTCAACAATCTCCATGATATTTGTTAATGAAAAATCTTGCATTCAGTTATCATATCCAATGACTTAATACCCTATATCAGAAATTATTTTTACACTTTCTATTAACTTAGTTGATTCTTAACCAAAGTCCAATTTTTGTATATTTGCTTCTGTTGTTTAAATTCGTTTCTCGTGTACCCAGTTTTTAGTTATGGTTAAAAGTTATACTTAAACACATGTCATTAATTGTCTCTATATATTACATAATATTAAGTATGTATGTTCACATTCTACACGTGACTGTATAAAACAGTGAAATTAAATGAATTTTGTCTGTTTCCTCCATACATACTTTAATCAGATTGCTTAAAATAAATGAAATTTAGTAGAAAAAATAACAATTCATGCCTAGATGGTGGTTGGAGGTAGTCAACAGGAAACATTGTACCCGCGTTTCGTGCTACTTGGCACTCGTCAGCAAGGTGTACTTGTAATCTTGAGGGAACTGGTGCTCCCTGGCGGATCCGATCTCGTGTCACCCAGCTTCACAGCCAGAGACGTTATCACTGAGCTATCCGAGCCGCGACTGACCTCCTATAGGACTGAGATGTAATCACAATTGATTGATCACTGGGTGGTGATCAATCTCATGCTTGTCTAGTCCTTATTAGTGCAGATCGAATGCTATCGATCATGTTGCAATGTGGCCACCAGTCTAGGTGACTCGACACTGCGGGCACTATGTATTGAGATTAGATGGTGGTTGGAGGTAGTCGAGTCACCTAGACTGGTGGCCACATTGTAACATGATCGATAGCATTCGATCTGCACTAATAAGGACTAGACAAGCATGAGATTGATCACCACCCAGTGATCAATCAATTGTGATAACAATTCATGCCTTCATTCATTTACAAACCTAATCTTATTTCAACAAACATACAGGGCGGCCTGCTTGAATATCTGGGCTACCTGTTCCTCCGATCTAGATATTTCTTCAAGTTATCTGTTTTTGTCGTTTGTTTTAGCACATCATTATGTCTATTGTGCTCACAATCTATTCAGGCGCGTTTATGAAAAGTTTACAACCTTTCGCTGTACGGATTACAAATAGGTACAATCAGCGACATCATGGTGGCTGGCAATATGCATTGAAACGAATGAACATTATTCAAATGTGGATTACCGAACTCCTAACATCTAACTGACCATTACTCAATATTTATCGTCAGAATCGATCAAGATATAAGAAAAGAAAACTTGTTGAAATACTTTATGCTGAGAATTCTATGTTGTACCAAAAATATGATGTTGAATAAAGCTTCTAATATTAATAATATCTTTGTAGGTGAATGAATTTATCATTGAGTAAAATAACACGAATTATATAAATAATCTTACTGTATAAGAAATAAGTGATTTGTGGAACGACCTATAATTTAGCTATGAAAAATTTGTATGATATCAGTTTATAACAGAAATGACTTTCAAATCATAAATCTATTCAAAGTTCTTATTTATCAAGAATTTAAAGTTCCCGGCTGATGTCTTTCATTGCTGTAATACATGTGAAGAATGTGCTATCCAAACAGTCTTTGGACTGGAACACTTAAAATCGTTTATACCACATATCTGTTCATTACATTTAATATTACTATCTATATCAGGCTGATCATGATCCAACTGACATGAATTCTGTAATTATTATTATTATAAATTGACTAAAGTTGAGGAATAGGTTTCATTAATTGACTCAACAAAGGAATAAAAACATGGAAAAATATCGACTGATAACCCAAAGAAAGAGGATGCCAATAAAAGAGGAATTTCCAGAATATACAAGACTATTATCCGGAGAAAGCTAAAGTCAGGACAACAATGAATGATCGTGACCAGTGGCTGGAGACATTAACTCAAAATCGATATCAACGACGCAGAAACATTCATCGATATATTCCCTTAAATCTTAAGATTTAATATTATCTCATACTTTTCATTCACTTATTACAATCCTTCTTTATAAATAAAAAATATTCTGTATTTTATCTGAGTAGCACTGATACTACTACTGTTCTAAATCATTGTATCAACTTTCTGTCATGGTGATGATGTGATGAAACAGCTTGGCTTAATGCTCACTTATCCCAAGTCCTAAATTAACTGTGACTTATTAACCTTTCTTACCTAGGCGTAAAATCTTATCGTTACTCATTTTGTAATTCCTACAACGTAAATGCTGTAAAGTTATTTATAGATAAAACGTATTACATTTCTTATAACCTCCAGTTTACAATGGAAAATTCTTCTTAACATAAAATACCATTTTGTTGGGAAATTCACCTGTATAGCACTGAAACTTATGCATATTCTAACTTTATCAATTCATCATCAAAGAGTTAACTAATACACTCAGTCAGCTACGAGATATTTGAATAAATCATCACTATCAATATATGTTTATATATATTCAACAGAGTTGTCACAGTTCAAAGTAATACAGTATGACAGAGATAAATACAGAACACACCTTAACACATATTTCTTTAATATATCTACACAGATAATGAGGATAAATAAAAATAATGTCAACATATTTGAGTAGGACAATCTTTTTCATCATTATGATTACCCACCACCCACCCAAAAGAACAACTTTTATCCTAATCCATAAAAATGAGCAAGAAGAAGCACATAGTTATATCTGTCACACACACATACATTAAGAAATTAAGCCGAGAGTAAAACAACACACACACACTGGTCAAACATTCATTGATAAAAAAGAACACAGTGTTCACCAAGAAAAAAATTATGCACAAAGTTCATTAAAAATAAATAAGACATAATAAAATAGATTGCACCCTATTAAAAAAAACCAAATAAACATGAAATGATTGAAATAAACAAATTACAATATAAGCGAAAAAAAACAAAGAAAAAGACAGTGATAAAAGCAAATAAGTCACAAAAGTTTGGTTGTTAATTTATAACAATGACATCAAGATAATACAAAAGGGATAAATGACTAGATCATATTAAACAATCAGAATTGCTGAAACTTTTAGTCACAAGACTGGCGCGGATAAAAATTCGAAAATTGTGTTCTCCGTTTCATTTCTTTTTGTTTCTCGTTTTTCATATTGTGATCATCATAAAGAAAATAAACTCAATTAGGAATTGCATAACCGTAGTGATAATAACAGTTAATTATTATTTTGATTACCATTGCTATTATGTAAAATGAACACTAATAGTCTCATTCTGACATAATGACAATTCATTGATCAGATCGTTGAAAAAGCGATAGTAAATCTTTTGCAGCTCTAGCAATCTGATGAGCATGACGTATTAGAATAGTGATTTCCGGTGGAACTGATCGACCACTATGACTGACAGATCCAACAATACTGGAAGAAGAGGAAGGTGATGTGAAGGAAGACGAAGCGGTGATTTGTTCACAATCTTTTCGTAAATTTTCTGATTCTGTAGCAAGATTATTTAATGCATTTTTCACTTCCATTGGATGAGATTCATCAGAAGGGAATAAATTTAATAAATCTTTGACAGCTAACTGAATTAAACGAGAACAATGAGCACTATTGTTACCATGACGATCACCATTAGCAATCTAAATGTATCGTGTGTAAAAAAATAAAAGACATAAAATGAAGGTTACACTGTCATGAAAGATGTCAATTATCATTAGTTAGTTTTGTTTTGGTGTAAATCCACTGGTTTACTAAATCAGACTAAAATAATACTACAGTGTATGTTGACATAAACAGTTGGGATAGAAATGCAACTTCAAATGAACTGAACTATCAAATTATCATATTACGTAAACACCGTATAGTTGATACAATTGTCACATTCGAAATATAATCAGAAATATAATTTATGAATCGTTTTATTTAACTAGACTTTACCATCTACAAACACATTTTTATAAGAGAAAGAGACGAAACATATGAGAATAAGACATCAATTTCTAAGTCAAAATCACAAGATCAATAGTTCATAGTTCATCCTAGACAAATTAATGTGATAATTCTTAGATTCATACGCAGAAGATCCTGGTCAGTGTGTCTGACAAAAGAACTTTTAAATAACTGGTGATCTGCAATCTCACTATGCATTGAAACCAGATACAAAAAATTAATTAATGAGTATAGTGTAATTCAATAGAACGGAATCTTATGCATATTTGAATTAATGATGCCTAATGATACTATGTGACTGGCTTAAAGAGATTACATTACATAACCACTGATATTTCACACGTACTTGTCAATATTACCATGATGATTGTTTCGTAATAAGAGACGTGAGATTTTCAGGTTTAGATTTTTATTCAACGTCCTTCAAACGGCTGATTGTATCAGTGTGGTGGAAAACACTAGTTTATTTATAAATATCGGAAAGCTAAATTAAGCAATGAGGCGTTCTATGCTATGAAGAAACCGCCGTCCAGTGTTACTAAGATTTGACTGGTGATCTAGCTAAGATCAGTTCGTGATTTAAAACTAAAATCTTTATAATCCTCACAAATCCCTTTTACCGATGAGTTATATGTTTTTTATCAATTAAAACATCGTAACAACATGTGTTAAATTCATAAATTATGAACAAAAGTTCTGTTATACAGGAAAAATACTACTGAACTACTAAGATAAATAAAAAACCTGAATATAATTCATTCATCAGTATAGGGTTGTGGAGATATTTGAGTTTTTATTGAGATCATCAACCAACTAATATTAGGCCACCATTGAAAACCTGGAAGCACTGGACGGCCTCTTCGTCTGGGTATGGGACTCCTCAGAAGTGTGCATCCACGATCCTGCACGCGTGACTCGAACCCAGGACCTTAGACCTTACTTTCATGCTGATGATGCAAAAATATGTATGATTAGGCGATCAGGTAGTAAAGACAATCGAATTATACAAATCATTATCAATTAGTATAGGTATATACATATTTCACGATAGTGCTACACAATATGAGTGTGAGAACCTGAAATACAATAAGGGTTTTATTGCGATTGGCAATATCCATATCTCGTGAACCGAAAGAGATTGACACGCAACTCGATGACCAATCACACGATTATATGACCCCTGTTTAGGCAATACACACATGGATGAGAACCAATGATAGAGACAGACTGCAAAAATTAAAGTAGGTTAAGTCGGGTTCGAATCTGAATCCAATTATTTAAACTCAAGAGCTCTGGTTGTTATCAAACCATTAATTTGACTTGCTATTGATAATCTTTAATTATATATATATATATATATATATATATATATATATATATATATATCCTTACTGTAGTTACTACGTAAAGATAGTTCCACATGTATAACGCCCAATAACAATGATAATGGTAATAGTAATAATAACCTTAAAATCAAAAAGTAAGCACCAAAACTATAAAGCTGAAAATGTCTTTAATTCAAATGCTGATTGTGTTACGACTGGAGGGAGACTGAATCAAAAGTATAAACAACCAGAAAATATTCCCACCTCTACCAAACTTCGAATACGCGTAATAATTGTTTCAACGCATCGGACAACTCGTTCTGAACTTGGAGCTTTCCAAACTTGATCTCCATTAACCCCAACGACAACACCACCACCACCTGGTCTAGAATGTTTATCGATTTGATGAAACGATTCATTGGATGAGTGTATTAATGAGGATGAACGAGAAGCGTTATCGTAGTCTGGAGACGATTTACTTATAGATACTAAAACTTCTGAATGATGTAACGGCTTTTTACTATCAATCATTGTTGGCTTGTTCAAATGTGAATTCAGTAGACGTGATGATTTTCCCTGATGGTGATGATGATGATGACGATGATGATGACTACTAGGAATATTCATATTTGGACTGGTTGTTGTAACACGACTACACAACTGACTCGCTAGATTTTGACTGATCGGTATTGGTGCTGGAGAAGGGGAACCAGTAGCATTAGGTGCAGTATAATCATCTGGTATATCAGGATTTAAAGCTGAAATGAATGTATTTAAGGGCAATATGGTTACAGGAAAAGAGAGAATAAGAATGTGATAGAAATGTAAAAGTCCAGTAAAATAATAGACATTGACCTTAAGTTTTTTTCAACGACATTTTCCATCAAAAAGAGGTCACTACTAGTAATTAATCAATTTCATACAGTCTAATCTTCAGTGCTGAGCAAAGAACTCTACGAAGATCGGCTTCGTATTGTAGACACAAATAACCTTAAATGATCCATAGTGTTAAGCTTTAATTGATGGTAAACCAGGTTAAAAGGCAATTAACAACCTTAAATCTATATTGCACGCTTACTGATAACTAGTACCAGGATAATTTTCAAAATACATTCCAAATGTTTCGCAAGCGTAACTATTATTGATACTATCAGCATTTTAGTTCGTTAGGTTTTCACCGTATTAATTTCCTACTTTTGTCGCTGTGCTGATGTGAAGTATGTCTGCTTGGGTGGATAATTCACTACGTTTGGAATTTCTAAAGAAATCCTACTCTCGCAATGTGGCTGGGTCCGGTTACATAACTTATTGATCTCACGGCAAACTTGATCAACAGACTTTGATTGGTACTGATGATAAGATAGCACTGTACTTGATTCAGTTCTATACAGGATCAATTATGATCTAAACAAATCAATGTTAACCATATCTAACTAACAGTTACAATACCTGATGCATGTTCATCACTGTAAGGCAGCATAAAGTGTATGTTAGTTACAGATACGCTTTCCTTCTAATTACCAAGTAATTATAAAATTTATATCTAGGGTTTTCTGTCAACTGACTTTAATCACAGATCAATTTTTATTTGAAAGTTAAACGACTTAACCATTGAGCTACTGCATCATTATTTTGTCATATAAATTTCACATCAGAATTATTTTCCTTTCACTCACTATTTTAACGATCAATCATTCTATTTCCTCAAATTACTGGAGTTATCAATTAATTACCATAGTATCACTCCCCTATCAATTAAACATCATTACTAACAGTATGTGTTTTATGTCATAACATTTTTCAAACAATTAAATTTAAGCACCAATTTTAATTCACCATAAATACGACATCTATTTAACGGTAGTTCCCTTGGAATATTTATAATTTAAAAAATAAAATAAAAAACAATTCCGATATTTGGAAAATATATTGAAGTTAAAACTCACCATCAGCAAGTGTGATTGAAGTACCCGATACTAAGGTGGGTTTTGAGTTGGACAAAGGATGCTGAATAAGATGTGGAGTATTAACATAAGTTGGAATATTTTGTGGTGCAGATGAGACAATATTTTGACTAGTTGAAGTGAACACAAATGATTGCTTTGGTTCTTCATTATTTCTACTGTGTAATTTATTACTTTTTACAAGACCACGAAATGATGGCGTTATAAAATTCGTTTGAGATATAGAAGGATGAGAATGACCGAAACCTGTTTGATGCGTTACACCACCACCACCAGTTACAGATGCTGGTGATCCACCTCTACTTCCACGTAGAATAATACCTTGTCTAAGTAGTACACCAGAATCTAGACAGTGTGAACCTATTGCGTAATTACCTTCATTACTAGATTTATCATTACTGCCACCAGCGACAATAACCCGTTCCATATCATATTCAGAGTCATCATCTTTATATTGTTCAGCATCCACTTCACCAACTTCATCGTCATCATGTTCTTCACCGTTATCCGTTATTTCCTCACCATATACTCTACTTCCATCTTCTTCGTCTTTTTCATAGTCCCAGTGATAATGTGTTGAAGGTGTTTCACTAATTTTGGTAGCTTTCAAATTAGATGAATACACTCCAACTGATGTTGTTGTCGTTGTTGTGATTGGTGTTTCGCTGGTCAGTTGTTGACCATCTGAATCACAGCTGATTTTTAATGGATTATGAACCATAACCATACCAGCTGAAAAAGCCGCTAATAAGGCAGACTAAAGACGAAAATCAAAAATTATGTAGATAATGTAAGAGACAAAAAGAATTACAGATAAAAATGTGTAAATAAAATTCAATAAAAATCAGGAGATTAAAATTGTTTAAATAATAATCACTATTAAGCATAAGTAGATTGTGGCTGGTAGCAAAATCCAGGACGCGCATTTCATCCCATTTGTGAATAGTCATCTGAATTTATCCGCACGTCAGTGTTGACATTCATATAGCGACTCAAAATCAAGTACCGATTTTCAGATAACTGCTAGCTTGTACAATGAGAGGGTAGTGAATTTCAATTTACATGAAGTTTTTTGAATATTCCAGTTGATGGTAAGGATTATAATTAATCGGTACGTTTTGGCATGCGTCTATCCTGTGAGAATTGGGTTGATACTGTCACAGAAAATTGCCAATACTGCTTGGAAATCTTTTTGACTTAATGGCAACGGAATACACTTTCAATAATTATCCAGCTAATAAACTGGAGTAATGTACATACAATCTTGTCAACGTTCATGACCTCAATGATCAAGTTTTGTTACTCTGATATTAATTATAACTAGTATTTCTAATTCCAATTGGAATTATCTCAATTAACTAGATCATTAATATTTGCTGTTCTGCAAAATATTAAATTACGTTCCCAGTTAACAACTGATGAGATGTGTTAAACATAAGTTTGATTCATTTCGATGTAAATTTATCAGTCCACTTGCCATTATAGATTGGTTTGTATTGACTGTATAAAGTATACTGCCTCCAAATGCATTTCTAAGCTCAGCAGAAGCGCTGGGAAATCATCGTTTCAAAACAGATCTGTGCGTGTTAGAAATTTATATATTCAAGCGCCAAGTTCACTTCGGTCTTCGAAACAATTAGCAATAGTGGTAGTAATGCATCTTGTATAATTTTAAAAGTTCTTACCCATTATTTCTACTTAATTACATTTTATTCATATTGTTCAGATAGACAATTGTCTTCTATCTAGAATTTATTTTCATTTTACTGGTTTATATTACCTTTCGATCAATATTGCATGATCTCCCCTAATATTACATAAAATCACTTTCCACTACATTTTTAAATGATCCCTTATCCTGTCTATGTTGAATAGTATCAATTCAACTATATGAACAAAAATATTGTTTTTATATTGTAAATGTTGAATTTCTTTATTGGTTCAAAATTTAACATTCATATCTATTGATTTTCACTATCATTTCAAGGATTTATTTACCGAGCGCTTCATTACCAGGTCTACCCCTTTAACTCCGTTACCAGCTAAGTGCATTTCAAAGTCGTGTTTAGTCAAAAACAATCAATACTATCTCTGTATATTGAAGATGGGATGATTGCAAACCATTAAAATAATAATATCAATCATGAAAATTGTAAAGACGAAATAAGATGATGTAAAGTTTTATTTAAAGTCTTCCTATTTCCCTAACATTTCTTATAATCATCTTAACATGTCATAATGAAAAATCTAAAATAAGTTATGTAACTTATTTACTAAATAGTGACTTATGCATTTGGCAACTTGGACCGATGCATAAATGTGCCTGGTCCTACGTTGTAGCTGACTGACTGACTGATTTATGCGTTTAATATTGAATCATACAGTTTGTGTATGACAGAGCTAACAATATTGAAATAATATTTGCAGACTAACTAGAAACTTTTGATAGTGTTGTATTCCGTGAACTAGATCGTTTAATTGTGGAGTTATTGTTGTTATTATTCTAGATAATATTTTCAGTGGATTCTATATAAATTAGATGCTGAAAAAGCTAATGATACTATATGGTTGTCTAAACTAAAGTAGACCAAATATAGTTTAAATATGAAATTTATTAGTTAAATGATGAATTCTTTCGCTCCTTCATGTTATTACTTAGAAATGAAATGATTAATTAAACTATATTATGTGTCTTCCGTTTAACAATTGAATAAATCTACATCTGTGTTTAGATTAACTATAAGCTCATAACAAGGATTTTGACGGTAACCACCATAGCTGCTATCAGTTTGCATGTTATCAGTGAAACAAATCCATTTTTTAATATCGTATTAATCTAATCAGTTACATCATTTTTAGACTATAGCATCAAAGAATGCTCCTAGTAACGCTACGAAAACACTGATATGATACAACCCATTCAATAAATATTCTTAACTCATAATGACAACTCTACTACAAGTGTTGCACAAAACTGCTTGAAGATGGAACATTGTCTAATTGAAATTCAACAGTTAAACGAATACGGCAACAATACGATAAGTGTTCAAACTGAAATGTATATCATATCATAGCGTATTGACTAAATTAATAATGATATTGATAAGAAGAAACCACAAGTGAGATAAACGAATTAACCAAGTTGGATAATAGTTCAGCATGACAGTCGATTGTATTCTGACAATTTCTGTCATGTATTCATCCAGTACAACGCTTGCTAATGTCAGTAATAAATTAAATCCAACTAATGGTCACTGTAAAAAAAATCTGTAATATAAAAGAGTAGTATCTTTCCTTAAAATATATGTTTTTCGCAATCCCAAACCAGGCTTGATTTTCCTACATTTTATAGCTCATTGTAATTTATAAATTTATGAAGAGGGATAGAGGTGGTAGCGTATTATCGACAATAAAATTTGTTATCGATTCGTGTATTATTAGTGTAAATCAATTTCTGATTACCATACGTAAACTTCTCTCAGTCATATAAAATTTCGTTTTATTCCATACTTTATTCATTATTTTTCTTACTTCACTTAACTGTTAAGATACACATCGAAAGAGTAAATTCGTAATAGTTTTCTATTAGATACTTTAAAAGTTAATTTACAACTGATCACATATTCAATCAAAAGAAATTGGCCAGAAAGGAATGGTAAATATAAAATGATTACATATCGAATATGAGAATTAGTTTCGAAGCATAATTAAAACATGCGACGTAACAGGATGAATGAGTAGTAAGTAGTAAATAGATTAATAAATAAAAATGACAACTAAATGAAATATACAAAATAAACAAACAAATTGATTGATCATTTCAAACATAATCCATTAGTTTTACGTGAAAAATAAAAAGGTACGCGTAAATGATGATGTTACATCATTAAGAAGAAACACACACACACAATTCATGTAGAGTATATGCAAAATTGTTAGTTACTTGATTCATGTTACTTATGCACTCAACTTTGAGCTACACATCAATGTTGTATGAGAGTATGTTGCGCGGTGCCCGATTCTGACATTAATACATAAACTTCCTATACGTGAACCCAAAGCAGCCGCTTAAGTGTGAGGAAAGCTTTATTAGTTAACTCAAATCCAGAAACTTGCATATATATACCTCCGTTAAAACTGTTTGAATCAAACCAGTGGCATGTTTCTCACTACATAAAAAAGGTAAACCAATCTCAGCTCATAATACGACTCAATGTGTTAGAATGTTAGTATTATACTACTAATCAACTGTTCGAAACTCAAAATAGATGGAACAAGGTTTGAACCCATATGGCTTAAAATGTAGGTGCTTTACCCACTTTGTTATTAATACTTCGTGTGAAAAACAATGCACAATAGTCAGATGAAGATCACCTGAATAATCACCAATTATCCTATTATCATTGTTACGTAGACTACAGTCTGTCATAGTTGAGTAGCAGACGAACAGGTATGACGACATAAATAGATCGATATTGTTGCAACAGTCAGTCAGTCAGCTACAACGTAGGACCAGGCACATATGTGCATCGGTCCAGGTTGCCATACCGCATCAGCACAACAAGATGAACACCGGATTCATAGCAGTGGTTAGGTCAAAGGTGGTAATAAATAAGAGGAAGATTGCATATAGAGATATAGTACAAGAAGAAAGAATTGGTTCGTAGAAAGAAAGATATGAAGTGATTTTAATCTCTTAGTTTAAGGGAAGACAGGGAGTGTATACACCGACGCCATTGTGATCGATTCTGAGCCATGTCACCAAGAGTCTCCAACCATTGGTTACGAAAGTCACGCGGACCCCAACCAAGTAGTCTGCATCTACCAACATGGCTCAGACTAGAAGTTAGTGACTTCAAGCACTGATGCCACGTTTTGGTTTGGCCGCCCCTAACTTTCTTCCAACCATCTCCAATACCGGATAGCATTGCACGTCGTGGTAATCGGTGTTCAGGCATACGTAACACGTGGCCCAACCATCTCAGTCGATGAAGATTCATAACCTCATCAACTGATTTACCATCATTCCCTAATACCCTGCGTCTAACCTCACTATTACTTACCCGGTGATCCCAGCAGATGCCAGCAATATTTCTAAGGCATCTGTGGTCAAATACTAGTAGCTTACGAGTGTCTTCTACTCTTAAGGCCATGTTTCGCTGCCGTAAATTAAAACAGAACGGACTGCCGCGCAGTATACTCGTCCTTTTATTGATAGACGGATATCTCGCCTCCGCCAAAGGTGACGTAAGTTGGCAAAAGCCAAACGAGCTTTTCGAATCCGTGCTGAGATTTCGTCAGACACCAACCCATTAGGGCTGATCAGACTTCCAAGATAAGTGAAGTTGTCAACGCGTTCGACTACTTCACTCCCTATCCTTAGTTCAGGTGTTGACGCAGACCAGTCCTGAAGCAACAACTTGCATTTAGAGGGAGAGAAGCGCATTCCAAACATTCTGGCATTGTTGCTTAGTGCTACCAGAAGACTCTGCATTTTGTCAGCGTCTTCACCAAACAGGACTATGTCATCTGCGTATTCTAAGTCGATAAGTGGACCTCCTGGAAGGAGATCAATACCCGAGAATTCAGTCGACGAGAGTGTTATTTCCATCAATAGGTCTATGATGAAGTTAAACAAAAATGGAGAAAGTGGACAGCCTTGACGGACACCACTTGAGGTTGCAAAAGTAGATGACAGTTCGCCATAAGCTCTGACTCGACTAGTAGTGTTCGAGTAAAGAGCCTTCACAAGGTTTA